ATGGGAGTTGGAAATTTTCACTGGAGTCCCACAGAAAATTAATGTCTGGGTCATGACCAGATAGATCCAAGGTTCCAGATGACCAGTCAGAGCTCACTTGTATCACATCATGTTGAAACTATACTCTCTGTGATGCCCTTTACCTAGCTTTCAGTGTTATAGAAAGTTGCTTCCTTACACCTTACAACACTGACATATCATTCAATATATTTATGAATTACCAAGTGGGGAAGGTGGTAATGGCTGGGTGACAGATCCAATTCAGTACCAGATGTTAATTCACTTTTATTCTGTGTGACTCTCATTTATTTGGAGTACTGAGTTGAGCTCTGATAATGGCATTATTTGGGTCACCAAAGGGCATTCTAGGGACACCTCTGAACATTGCTGTGTGAATTGTGGTTGAAAAAAACTAAGATGTTTAACTGGAAGAAGAATTACAAGCAAATTGTCATGTCTGTCTTCAAATGCTAAACTCAGATACTGTTGTGTCTGTGGTTTTATTCTCTGTCACTTCACTGAGCAGAACTGCAGCCAATGATTAGACATTATAATTTATGAAAGTCATACTTCAACTAAGAGTAGGGATGCTATTTATGATCTTTGGAGCTATTCAACATAAACGAAAGTGAAGTCTGTGGAGATGTCTCAGTGGTTAAAGTGCTTCCCATGCAGGCAGAAGGACCTGAGTTTAATAGTTCAATTCCCACAGAACCCACATAAAAAAAATGCTTAAGCAGCCAGGTGGTGGTGGTGCATGCCTTTAATCCCAGCACTCAGGAAGCAAAGCCAGGTGAATCTCTGAGAGTTCGAGGCCAGCCTGGTCTACAGAGTAAGATTCAGAACAAGCACCAAAACTACACAGAGAAAGCCTGTCTTGAAAAACCAAAAAAAAAATGCTTACACAAAACAAAGTGGTGTATTTTTGTTAACCTTGGTGCTGAGGAAACTAAGACAGATAGATCCCCAGGGCTCACTGGACAGATGGCCTGTACTACCCCATGATTTTTAGGCTACTGAGAAACTGACTCAAAAATCAAGGTGGACAGTGTCTGAGAAATGACACTTCACATACATGTGCACCTGAAACATATGTACAACCTATACATACACACACATAAAATGTTCATGCTCCTGTGTGTGTGAGTGCAAGCACATGTGATGACCTCAGATACCAGTCCTCACCTTCCACTTTCTTTGAGGCACTATCCCTTTTGCTCTTTGCTACTGTGTATGCCAGACTAGCTGGTTCGTGTTCTTCCGGGGATGCTCCTGTCTCTTCCTCCCATCTCTATAGGAGCCCTGGGATTGTAGATGTGCATTACTGCATCTGGCCTTTATGTGGGCTCTGGAAATTTGAACCCAGGTTCTCATGCTTTGAAGAAAATACTTTTACCTGCTGAGGTATCTCACTAGCCCAATATTGAAGTTATTCTGAAGCCAGCTGGTAACCTGATTGTAAATGGACATCTTCCTGCCCCAACCACTTGCTCCCAAATAACAGACATAGAGGTTTAATATTATCACTCAACTGATGGCTCAGGATTGTTACTAGCTAACTTTTATACTTAAATCAATGAATAATTGTTATCTATGTTTAGCCATGTGGCTTGGTACCTCTTCTCAGTACAACATTATCATCTTGCTTCTCTCGGGTGACTCTGACTCTGCCCTTCCTCTTCTGAGAATTCTCCTAGTCTGGCTCTCACGCTCAATTTCTTCCTGCCCAGCTATCAGACAGCCAGCTTCTTATTAGCAAATGGGAGTAATACATATTCATAGTGTAGAAAAGGATTGTCCCAAATCACCTGATATATGAATCCATGCAGAAAATAATCTACCTTAGAAGAAAGTCTGAAACTCATGTTGTAGTTAGGTCACTGAGAGGTCAGAAAATGGATAGGATATTTTCACAAACTTCGTTCAGAAATTTACAAAAAGAAAAATCTTGCTCCAGCCAAACTATTAACTGGACGTGCCAAACAAAACCACAATACTGTCTCACCCTAGACCTGCAACCAAAATCTCTGCCTACTACAGAACTATGAACAATCAGAACTACCTTAACTTTTGTATCCCTTAATTTTACAGGCTTGATTTGCTTGGAAGAGATTATATATATATATAACAGGAAATGACGTGTTTAGCAGGTTCATAGTCTGAACTTCACTCATTCACATTGTGGAAGCTAAACATCCAGAAGCTGCATGCTAAGATGTTTACCCTTGTGCAACAAATACTTCTCCAAAACAGAGACAATTCCAACATGCAGCCTACTTTGTTGTACTGTGGAGCTCTAATCAGTGTTTCCCCTTCCAATGTACTCAATAAACGTGTTTTCTTACTGTTGTAGTATAAATGTTCAAGTTATTCACTGCCAATTACTTCCCCAATTTGACAGACATCATAGCTGTTGCCTTTATCATTTATTTTTCCTTGGCAATCATATACCCTTGCTGATAAGTTCAGCAGTGTCCTTTGCCATGTCCTCCAGGTTGGTATCCACTCAGTTCCTTGCAGTTATTCCAGATATGTCACACTCATATCCAAAGCTAACCAGCAGTCCTCTTATTATTCTTCCTGTCTATACCAGCTGCGCTACAATGAAATTAGTCTTCAAAATCAGAAAACTAGGAATCCTTTCTACTTCAAACCCAATTCCTACTGATACTTGTTCTCTTTATGTATCTGTGTATATCCTCTCCTTCCACCAGTGTTAGGGCCACTGTTGGGATCTTGTTCACCTCTTCCTTAACTTACTTCATTGACTTCCTACTGTATCCTGCTTCTGCATTCCTAATTCATGATTCATAGTTAATCCAAAAATAACCATTCCAAAATATACAAGGTTGGTCATATTTATCGGTTCATGAAATCTTTGAAAGATCTCCATTGTCCTTAGGTAAGTTCAAAATTCTTTAACTTAATATGAAAATCTCTGCATGATCTGATTCATGCCACCTATTTGCTCTCACAGGCTTAAAACTCATTCCTCACTTGCACACACAAATCTGTCTTTTTTGTGTCATCTCCATCCTCACTGAGTTGGATAATAGCAAGTTCTCTCAGTGAGATCCAGCACCACTTTACCTAGAAAGCTCCTTGCGACTTTGCCCAAGAGCAGAATTAGGTAACTGCTCATTTGATTTTGGATTCTATAGACCTGTATCACAGCATTTATCAAAATGTGCTAGAGTTGTTGCTTATCTGAGATCATTTCCTCAGATGTGTGTTCTTGAAAGCCAAGATTCTGCCTTAGTTTTTGTTTTGACTTTTACCAAATAACTGGCACAGAATGTAGATTACTCAATAACTGCAGACAGTTTTGTGCAATGACTCAGTAACAGATACACTGGTATTTATGACACTTACTAGCTGTGTTATGCCCAAATTACTTACATGTTTTCAGTACCTTAGTTACTTATCTGTGAAATGAAGACCATAATGCTCAATGAACCTAGATCATAGAATAAATGTCAAGATGAAATTAACTGTGGTTCTGAAAACAGCATATAGAGCAATGTCCAATATATAGCTTGTTCAAAGAGTGTATGGCATCTAAGAACCTTTACTATGCTAAGATTCCATAATTCTGAAGTCATGTTTGGTGTGTACAAGCACTCAGTTGTCTTTGGGAAAAACAGGCTTTGAATCTGACAGGGATAGCACCTCTTTCCACTTTCCTTACCTTCACCAGGACAGTGAAGAGATGCTTGTCCTGAGGAGGGCTCCCACGAGAGCCTGGGTATTCCCAGTCCAGGTCCAAGCCATCAAACCCATACTGGCGCAGGAATTTGATTACTGAAGTGATGAAGGTCTGGCGGTTCTGAGAAGTGGAGACCATGGCAGTGAAACTGAGGGAAACCAAAGAAAGGCAGAGTAAGGTCTTGGTGTTCTTTCTACCCTGGAATAAAAACAGTTTGCTCTTCAGTTTCTGCCTCACAGTCCTTGTCCAGGACCTGATTGAGGATTAAAGCATGTTTCAGGGTTTTCCTGGTCTCTCTTTGCAATCACTACTCTTGCCACCCACAGTATCTTAGCATTCACTTTATCTTATTATTCTTCCCCACTTGCAACTCAGATGTTTATTGCAAATGCCCTTGTTGTTTTGAATGCCCTACAAACTTAGTTCACAGACAATTTTGTGTCTTTAAATATGCCACCAGTTCATGAGTACTCAAGTAAGTCTTGTTGGTATACATGATCTCCTTTTCCTTTCTCTAGGAAGACAGACAAAAAATATACACAACCCTTATCAGACCTCATGCCCTCCATATACTTTATAAAGAGGTTTTTTCGAAGCAAGCAACTAAAACTCAGAGGATGGCATCCCAAGACATCCATCCAAAATTAGCCCTGTGAAAGCCACAATAATCCTAAAATTTTCTAATAGGTATTAATTATTTTGCATGATAATTTATTAAGTCAGATATTAATTTCATAGGTATCCTTAATATCCATCTGGAGTTTTGAAGTCTAAAAGTACAAGGATCATGCTGGGCTACAGTGCTTTTAGTGAGCATTTGGCTTTCTAAAGAGAACTTACGGTGCAGTTCCAAAGTTCCAGCCTCCAATGGCCAAGAGGGTTTTCAATTCGCTATTCCTTTAAAACAAAAGATAAACAGAAAATTTAAAATCCATGGGTTCTGCAATTTAAAATAGCATTGCTGTTTATAGTATTGGGCCTGCTCAAATTATTCAGAGCAGGGTTAATGTCATACTATCTACTGTAGAGCTATTTGAGCTATTGTCTTCCACTACTGAAACTTTCTTTACAAAAGCACTTTACATTATCACCATAAATGAAATCAGGGCCACTCAGAGAAATCAGAATTATACAGCGGTTTGGCTTTATTGACTTGTACTAGCAATATATGTACTACATATAACTTAAAAACATAATTACCTCATTGCCATTTCATCAGATAAAGTGTTGAACGTTGCTAAAGTGTAATTACTTCATTACCTTCTATAATAACTAATATAAATTAATTGGTTTGCCATTACACATATACCTGGGAATTGTGGTTATAAAATGTCTGTTTCCATAACAATTAAGCACAAAGGTTATGAGAGGACATGAAAATTCTAGCTTTATTTTCATTTCCCCTAAGATTCTGACATTACTTTAGGGCAGTGGTTTTCAACCTTCCTAATGCTTTTTAATATAGTTTTTCATGTTGTGGTGATCCCCAACCATAAAATTATTTTGTTGCTACTTCATAACTGTAATTTTGTTATTATAAATTGCAATGAAAATATCTGATATTTCTGATGGTCTCTTGGGACCCCTGTGAAAGGGTCATTCAACCCTCTAAGAGATAATGACTCACAGGTTGAGAACTGCTGCTTTAGGATGAGGAGAGGCATTTTTATCAAGGGACACAAGTAATTTTGATGCAAATAACCAATGGCTGGAGAAATTACTCAGTCATTAGGAGAACATGTTGCTATTGTAAAGAACCAAAGTTCAGTTCCCAGCACCGACATCAGGTGATTCACAACCCAATTACCTGTAATTCCAATTCCAATGCCCTCTTTTTGACTCCTGAATTCACATGCACTTGGCTGAGTATAGACACACACATGCACTTAAATAAAAATGAAAATTTTTAAGGAAACAAAGAGAATTCTTCAAAATACAGAAAACCCTTATAATTCTTGACCTCAAACGTGTCTAATTTTAAAATCTTCTGTTCATTGTTTTCTCTTGCAGTGAGCCAAGATGATTTGAAGTTTCCTGGGTCATTACAAAAAGACAGAAAAAAGAAAAATCATCATACACACACACACACACACACACACACACACACACACACACACACTTTTAAATGTTTTATTAATTTAATTTTTATTTCATTTTATTTAAATTAAAATAATTCAGTATTTTAATGTAATATATATTAATATTGACTGCAGCAGGCAATATGAAAAGTTGTCTACATCCTTGCTACTTGAAGTGAGGCTCCTGGACCAGAAACATCACCCTCACATGGCAGAGCTTAATAGACAAACAGAAGAATTCATTTGAACCCTTCTCTCTTATATTAAAAAGACTAACTTAAGGTGTATTGATGAGTTAAATATAAGACTCAAAATTATAAAACTAAAAACTACTAGAGAAAAATCAGGGAACATGGGGATAGTTCCATGATAGACTTGCTAAGCAGTGATCTCTTTGCGGGAGGGTGGGTATTATGACTGGACACATGAGTAGCAAATGCAAAATGGACAGTAGAATTACATCAAATTAAGGCCACTGCATATCAAAGGAATAACGGAAACAGAGAAAGGACACAACATGCACGTCACAGGGTTTGTAGCTGGGTGATATTGATGGTTACTTTTCTCTTCTGGTAGCATGCAGAGTATCTTCCAGAATTATGAGTGATAGGCAGTAGGGGTGAAGTTTCTAGTTGGGCATCAGCTCAATTTCTCCATATTTGATGATATAAGTGAATGCTGTCTTCAGAAACAGGGCCTTACTATCAGGTTGTAGAGAATAACCAACAGCCTTGGCAACAGCCTGGGATTGAGGGTGTTGATAACGAACTCCTTTGGTCAGTGATTTAATATGATATAACCCACTCCAGGCACTTGAGGTTTTATTTGGTAGCATAAGATGTCAAATTGGAACACTGTCTCAAGCATGATATGGTGACTCCTTTTAAATTCTTTATATATTCTCTGTGTTCCCCAGGACCCAATCCCACTGTCTCATCCCAGAACTCCACCAGAACACCAGCTGCACTCTTCCCCCGCCCCACTGCTCACATCTCCTCTGGGCCACACAGACCATCTCCTCCTAACCTCTCTCTCCCAACTCATCTCTGTATCCCAGCTGCCAACTCGAGCAGGCACACCTTTTAAACCACAGGCCAAATCTGCCCAAAAACCAGGTAGGTTGCCTGCAGACATCTTGTCTCTCTGTTCCCCCAGAAGCAACCCTACAGTCTCATCCCTAGCACTACACCAGAACACTAGAGGCAGCCTTTAAAATTGCCAAATATAAATGGACTAGACATTGTAAATATAATTCTCACCTGATAATTGTTCTTATTGTATATAATTGTACTATGTCAGAGTTAAAAACTCTTTCCTTTTTAGACAAAAAGGGAGAAATGTTGTGAGATATGTGTAAAGATATGTCACTTGTGATTGGTTTAATAAAAAACTAAATGCCCAATATGAGGCAGAATTTTCAAGGTAGAGAGAATGCTGGGACTAAGAAGGGCAGAATAACCAGCCAGATGAAGAGGAAGTAGGTCATGTAGGAGATGAGGTAACAAGCCATGAGACACATGGTAGCACATAAATTAATAGAAATGCATTAGTTTAAGTTCTAAGAGCTAGTTAGAAACAAACCTAAGCTATCAGCTGAGATTTCATAATTAATAATGTTTCTGTGTTGTGATTATGGAGCTGGCTGGGGGGTCAGAAAAGTTCAACTACACAGTTGGGATTGAGAGGAGCATGTGGGTGATTGGGTGGAAACCTAATGCAATGGAAATTTCCTTGAATCTATGAAGGTGATCTTCATAAGGACTCTTAGTAACAGGGCAGTATGATGTCTCAACTAGCCACCTCTTTTAGCCAGGCAAGGCAGCCAGTAGCTGGACTGGATTACATTCAATTGAATTGTTGGCCAAGGGGATACCATGCAAATCTCCAAATAACCCATGATATTGTTAAGACAAAATGCTTCTCTCCAAAACTGACAGTGGGGCCCCATTGCCACACAACTCATGAAACATAGAAAAGTTGAGCTGATGCCTACATAGAGCCTTCACCCCTATATCCTAGTCTCTTTAGTGTGGGAAGGTACTTTACAGGCTACTGAAAGACAAGCATGGACACCAACCCAGCCACAAAACTTTGGACCTACAATCTGTGCTGCCTACAGAATATGCTAGGACAATGGTGGCACAGAACTTGCAGGAGTAGCTGACCAATATCTGATTTGATCTAAGGGCTACTCCATGAGAAGGAACTCATATCTGACACTACTTGAGTGACCAAGAACCAGAGACTAGATAGCCCAGAGAACTGGGATAAAACAAAACACTACTGATCTAAAATAAATGAATAAATAAATAAAATGGCTCCTAATAGTATTATGTTATAGTCATAGACCTCTGCCTTATTCTATCAACATCAAAGATACTTCTGGCAACAGATGGGAACAGATTATAAAAGCTCCTACAGTAGCAAGTTTCCATATGAATTTTCAAAAGGCCTTTAGTGTTAGTTGTCCCTCCCCATATTCCCTCCTTTATTCTGCTCCTCATCCCCTTCCCTAGTAAATCCTTCTATTCCACTTTCCCTTTTATCTCTTTATAAAACTATGTTCTATTTCTTTTCTTTGAAAGATTGCATTCTCCTGACTAGTCCCTTACTAACTGCCTAATCTCTGTGACTATTCAGATTAAAACACATATCTGAAGCTTGAAATTTAACATCCACATAATCTAAAGCTTGAAATTTAGCATCCACATATAGGAGAAAACATGTGATGATTGTCCTTTGGGTCTGAGTTACCTTGCTCATGATGATGATTTCTAACTCTATCCACTTAGCTGCAAATTCCATATTTCTTGACAGATGAATAATGTTATATTGTATAAATGTGTCATGTTTTCATTATCTATTCATCAGTTGATGAACATCTAGGCTGTGTCCCATTTCTGGCTATTATGAATAGCACAGCAATGACCATGAATAAACAAGTATCTCTGTAGTAAGATACAGAGTCCTTTGAGTATATGCCCATGAATGATTAACTGGATCTTGAGGTAAATTGATTTTCAGCTTAAAGAATAGGAGAAAATATCTGCAAACCATTTATCTTGTTAGGGATGCTATCCCAAATATATCACGAACTCAACTCAGTAGCAAGGAAACAACCTAATCCTAAAAGGATCAAAACCCTGAGTAGACATTTTCAAAAGGAATGTAAATATCCCAAAGGTATATAAAAATAGATAATCCATAAGATTATCTATGAGATATGCAAAGTAAAACAGTATTGAGAGTATCTCTTATAAAAAACAGAATAGATAACCAGTACTGTAAATTATGTAGAGAATATTTGAGCACAAATAGGAAATTTAAATGTCTATACACATTATATGCAAGTATGAAGATTCCTGAACAAGTTCAAAGTAGAATCATTGTAATGCATAGCAACCTTTTGAATAAGCTTATGCCCAAAATAGGTAAAACCAATGACTCAGGTAGATAATAGCACTTCCATATTCATTGTAGCATTATTCTTAGTTATCCAAGGTATATAATCATTGTAAGTGTTTATCAAATAATGAACCTTTTAAAAGCATGTGCTATTATATGCAATGAATTATATCATTGAATTTTAAAAAGAATGAAATCTGCCATTTGTAACAATATTTTAAACCTAGAAGACATGTTAACTAAAATTAACAAGGCATAGAATAACAAATAACACAAGACCTCACTTACAAGCAGATTCTAAAATATTTGAACTCATAAGAGTAGATGGTAGAATTTTATCTTTTTCCTTTTATTGAAAATAATCTTTTTTCGTACAATATTCTGATTATTGTTTTTCCTCCCTATTTTACTTACAGTTCCTCCTCTTCTCTTCTCCCCCGCCCCCGTATCCACTCCCTTTCTGTCTCTTATTAGAAAAGAACAGGCTTCTAAGGGATAGTTAAAATTGACAAAATAAAATATAATAAGATGATGCAAAAACTATCATATTGAAGTTTTCATCTTTAAGCAGGGGAAGGGAGGATTAAAGAGATGTTGGTCAACAAATACAAACCTTTAGTGAGATAGGAAAAATGAGTTCAAGATCTTATCTCTACAATATGGTATCTACAATTCTTAGCACTGTATAGTATTTTGAAAACCATTGGAAGTACATTTAAATTGCTTTATCATTAAAATATGTGTAAGATAATGTATTTGCTAATTTTCACATGAACCATTCTACAGTTTATATTTATTTTAGAACATCAATGACCACATGCATTTGTATCAACAAGAAATAAAAAGAATCTGTCTGTTCACAGGTTCTTGGTCCTGATAGTGATGTAATGTATGAGTTTCATCATGTGGAGCAGGCCATAAATCAAACAGGGAATAATTACAGAAGACAGGGTAGAAATACTGTAAGAAACAGAGACAGTGGACTACAATAAAAGTGTTTTTCCAGATACAGCAGAGAAGTTGCACATATGAATTCACTGCAATTGGAACAACAGCATGTACAAGATATCCAAAATATCAAACCAGACAAAATTCTGTCATGAAAAGGGAAGGTGAGCATGGGGTTGCATCCCTAGCTGAAGAATTAGTGCCAAATGAGAACCTCTGAGAGAGTCAGTTTTCCTTAAGGGTGTGACTCCTATAGGTAAACCATATTCCAGTGGATTCCCACACACTCAAGGATATATGGACAGCACAAATTAGACTCAGTGTGTTTAAAACAAAAATGAGGACACTAAAGTTGCATAGGTAGAGAAAGGGAGAGCATCTGACAGAGGTTGAGAAGGGAGTGATATGATTTAAGTACATTATACAAATTCTCAAAATTAAATTTTATATAAGTAAAAGGTAGAGGATAGATGATAGATAGATAAAAGAATAGAGAGAGAGAGAGAGAGAGAGAGAGATAGATAGATAGATAGATAGATAGATAGATAGATAGACAGATAAGCAGTGACGTGTTATAGTAAGTTATGAGTAACATCTTCAGAAGCACTGGTATTTGGCAACTACTGGTCCAAAAGATACCAAGTTAGCTATCTACCCCTTTATTTTACCTGTTTTTCAGGCCATTGAAAGCTTTGTAGAATTCAATGTCATTCCATTCTATGGTAGTGATCTCATTGTTCTGCATCCCAGCAAAGGCATAGATCAGGTGAGTACACAGGCAAGGGTCGATGTCATCAGGTGTGAAACGCCCCAGGCCTGGCCGATACTGGGCCCAGTTGGTGAAGTAGCATACCAGATTGTAGGTAGACCCTGTGGTGGTCAGAAATAAGTATGATGGTCTGGTGTAGATTTCACTGAACTATGATAAAAGTTTGGGCTTTACTTCTATTTCCCTCCCCACCTCATAGGCCTGATCTCCGGGTGGAGATGACTAGTGTGAGCACACTTGTAGATAAGTCAAAAGAAGCTACAGATTCATTTTGAGAGCTTGGAAAAGCTTAGGCTTTTTCTAAAACAAAATTCTCATAGTTCTTGAAGCCCAGCAGTCCCGTGAAGTTCAATGGATGAGAATTTAAAAGCTGTTAGGTGAGCCCGGCAGTGGTGGCACACGCCTTTAATCCCAGCACTTGGGAGGCAAAGCCAGGTGGATCTCTGTGAGTTCGAAGGCAACCTGGGCTACAGAGTGACTTCCAAGAAAGGCCCAAAGCTACACAGAGAAACCCTGCCTCAAAAAAACAAAAACAAACAAACAAAAAAAGCTTTTAAGTGGTCAAGCTATAGAGGATAGCAGTAACAGCTGACCTGAAACTCTACTCCCCCACAAAACAAACCCACCTCTCTAATATGTTTTATTTCTTGTTACATTTTTCCAAACAGAGTAACATCGAGGTGTTGCTGGATATTTGTACACTGTCTGAACATGTGTCACTGCAATTGGTTTAATAAAAAGTTGAATGGCCAATACCTAGGCAAGAGAGGAAAGACAGGACTTCCAGGCAGAGAGAGGAACTTAGAGGGTTAGAATCTAGGTGCAAAAGGCACTAGTGAGGTGCAGAACAAACCAGGCATCCAGAATGGGAGAGAGATAAAAGCCACATAGTAGAATGTAGATTAATTATTTTTTTAAAAAAGTCAATTTAAGTTATAGAGCCAGTTGTGAGCAAGCCTAAGCTAAAGTCTAATCTTTCATAATTAATAATAAGTCTCACTGTCATTATTGGGGAGCTAGTGGACCCATTAAAAAAAAGAAAGTCCAACTTCACCAGGGTATATTTTTACTTAAATATGTTAATCAGACAATTGCTTTATGGAAATTCAGATATTTGAGTTTTATGGTAGGTAATTGTTTTGTCAACTGTAGGACATGGAATTAGAGACTTACCCAGATGAGCATTCAGCAGAAGGGCCAGACCTAGTGAAAGAAAACACATATTTATTCTGAACCAGCTGCCTAAATCCTCTCAGATATAACCCTAGAGCCTTATGGTTCATCCTGCTTATTGTGTGCTGTGACAGCAGAAGTTAAACTTTGCACTTGTGTAAAGGAGTTATCTTCTCAGTAAACATTCATTGATCTACACTTTACCAGTTGGTCAAAATGGCCATTAACCTTTTCTACATTCTGTGTCATAATTTTTTGTAAGTGTGAAGTCTACTATCTATGAAGTAGGGCTGACTGGCTCCAAATTCACTGCACTCAGTGACCACACAATCAGATGTGTCTCCATTCTCATAGCTGATATGAACTCAGTACTTCAACACATAAGGCATCCTCTAAAGCAGACTCAAGCTACAGGAATATGTTGGAAGCGTTGTAGTGGGTAGCTGATGTATCTATGACCTTGAAGCACTGCCCCTAGAGATGCAACAGGTAACTGTTCCACCTGCCTGTGAACTTGAAGTACATGTCCCTGATGTGTGGCCTTACAGACCCTTAAGACCTGAAATTCACTAGGCATCACTTTCTTTGCTCCATCATGAGACTTGGATGTGGGACTGATCCAGGCAGTCAGAACAGCATTCTAGAACCTGTATAAATTCTGTTCTGTTCTGTACAGTGAGTTTTCGCCCTTAATAAACCCTTTGCATGTTAAACAGACTCTGCAGCTTTCTCATTATAGCTGGTGCCCCCACGTGGTAGGCCATCCACGGCCCTTATCCATGCAGATAAGCTTCTGTATGAGATAACCTTTTCCCCCTGCCAGCTCAGATCCTGCCCACAGACTCTGTGAGCAGCCTGGGCAATCTGCTGCGTACTAGCAGCAGCTCAGATTCCATCCTTGTTGACCAAATATCCCTGCTTTCAAGCCTCGTGCCACTGCCACCAGGTCCCTAACTGGACCCTCCCTCCTGAACCAGGTCTCGGGTACCAGCATAGATGCCATTGTCCCATCACTACTGCCTTGTACTGCAACCACAGCTGCTGGGGAGGGAGAACAGTGCAAGTGAGAGAGTGACCAAGTAAGCACGCCTCTGCAGCAGCCCTACCCCCTTAGGCAGCACCTCTGGTCTGCTTCACTGCCCCTTGGTGCCCTCCTGCAACTGTCCTATTGTCCTACCACTGGCCCTGAATCTCCGCCCATGACCGCTGCCACCATCTTACATGTAGCACACGTGTGCAACCAGCCCCATAGCATCTCCAACCAGGCAGGCAGCTCCTGACAGGTGCACGTTTGAGCACTTCCAGCCCATTGGTGTATTCCCTTACTGGTATATATAATCTGTTGTGGTCACAGCAACCCTACCTAGTACTCAGGGGTTTGCCTGGGTGAGTCCTTCAACCACAGGAGCCCATTCAGGCAGCCTGAGTCAGTTTGAACAGACCTGCTTTGGAGCTATATCTCCAACACCTGCTGGCCAAATACCGTTACTATACTTAAAAACCATCAAAAGATCTGGGACATCTGGAACACCAGGACAATTAGGACCATCTCTAAGGGGTAAAATTTTAATTACTCAATAATTTTACCCCTTAAACTTATTAACAAATAAACAAATTAATAAAAGTTTTCTTTACATATTTTGAATATTTCTCACACCATGGCCAATAATATCATGACTCAGGAATTTAAAAACTTCTTTGTACTATGAATGAAATTTTACAAGATGTATATGACCTTTCTGGGTATACAATGTTCACCATAATCGCATTTAGCATAGTGATTCATATCACAGCTTTGAAAAATTGGCTTAATAACAATACCAAAAATGAGACATTAATGGGACTGATACAGACTTTGCAAAGTGGTAATGAGGACCTAAACAAATGGATTCTTTCTCTGGAATCTGCTAATTTACCACAAGAACTTTAGTCTGATAATAATAGCTGGACAACAAATTTAATTGTATTGATAATAAGTATAAATACTTAATGGATAAAACAATCTTCAGAATTGAAAATTGCTTCAAAGCAATCTTAATGCCATTCAGATAATTTCTAAGGGGGGGAAGATCATCACTAATTGATAGAATAAAGTCTTTAGAATCATATGTTTCAGATGAACATAAAAAATGTATAATTCCATAAAATCTCTAGACTCCTTCACAACAGAGGAGGTTTAAACACTACAAAGGGCAGTAGTTAATTGATTTCAAGCTCTGGAGGAGTCTATCAGGAAGGGTAATAAGGAAACTAATAAGAAGAAGGTCAAAGCCATACAAGTCATAACATCACCAGGTGACTCTCATAAAATGGCTTATCACTGTCCATGAGAAGCCAGCAGATGATAAACATCCTAAGGAATATGTAGAATATATATGGCAACCTATTCATATGAGAGATTTAAAACACATTAAGGAGGCTGTGGTTACCTAAGGTATATATTCAACAGATGCTAAGTACATGGTCCTCTAAAAATAGAATCACACCAGATGATTGGAATCAGTTAGTTTCATCTGCATTAGAATACAGCCAGCAGTTACAATGGAAAAGCTGGTTGAGAGAAGAGACTAAAGCCATTGAACAGCAAGGTAAGATTAGAGGTTTTGAGATCTTCCAAGATCAAATTCTTGGTGAGGGTGGTTTCACTGATATAAATGTACAATCTACCTTTGGTGAGGATACATTATCCCTATGCTGTACAGCAGCTTTAAATGCTTGGGGGGGGGGGTGGATTCCAGAACCAGGGAAACCAACTGAGATATATATATGAAGGTTTTCCAGGGGCCCAAAGAACTGTTTACTGATTTTTTACAAAGACTGGCCAAGGCTATACACAAGGCAGTATCCGACCAAGAATTAAGACAAGTATTAACTCAGTCTTTGGCTTTTGATAATGCTAATAAAGAATGCAAAAGAATACTTATACCTTTAAAGCTCAGATTAACATCTTTAGAGGAATAGATTAAGTATAAAAATAGTATTGAGTCTCTTAATTATTGTAATGAAGCTTGGATAGGAGAGGTGATTTCCAAAGGTTGAAGGAAGCATCAAAGTGCCAAATATTTTAACTGTGGTACACCAGGTCATATAAGAAAAAATTGTACATAGGGTATTCCTAGAAGTTCCTCTAAAAATAACCCAAACAGGAGACCCCAATATTCTGGATTATGCAGAAGATGTGGCAAAGGCTAACATTGGACCAATGAATGCACATCAAAAAGAGACATATGAGGCAACCCTCTACTAGTGGAAAATGCCTCAAGGGGCCACTTGCAGGCCCCCAAATCAAACGTGGTACAAACATTTCCAGCCACTGTGGAGGAAATTCCTCCCTAGGACAATTAAATAACCCAGTGTCTAATATAAATAATGATACTGCACTGGACAATAGAACAGCCTTGATAGATGGATCAAAAATTACAAAAAACACCATAAGATGAATATTTTGGCAGACTTCCATAAACGAACAAAGACCAAAGCCTAGAGTACAAATTAATAACATTGTTCTGGAAGGCTTGGTAGACACAGGTGTGGATGCAACCAAAATCATGGCATCTGAATTGACCTCTTAAAGAGGTAGATATCCAATTTCTAGGGATAGGAACCTTATCTCAGGTAAAACAAAGTTTGAGATGGGTTGAATGCATATGACCAGAAGGACAGAGAGGAAGGCTAAAGCCATATGGGAATCTTTGGGGCTGAGATCTGTTACAGCAATCGAATAGCCAGATTAAAATTCCTCCAATCTCAAAAGTGAAATATAGATCAATTCATGTTTCTAGGAATAATATTATAAAATGCTACAAAAAACAGCCACCAACCATTCAAGCTGTACATAAACAGAGCACAGCTGCTGTTGAGCTTTTCAAAGTACCAATGGTCCTACCTTTAAAATGGCTAACTGATAAACCTGTCTGGTTTGGGCAATGGCCTATGACATAAGAGAAACTACAAGCTTTAGAGCAGGTGGTTCAGGAGCAGTTAAATGCTCAACATATTGAAAAATCTACCAGCCTTTTGAATTCTTTTGTATTTGTTATTGAAAAGAAATTTTGTAAATGAAGAATGCTGATGTATCTCAGAGCCACTAATAATTAATAATTCAGCCTGTGGGCTCCCTAAAGAATTGGATACCCTTGCCTTCTCTGTTACCCAAAGAATGGCCTATTATAGTTATTGACTTAAAAGACTATTTCTTCACCATACATATATAAAAAGGATAGAGAAAATTTTGCCTTCACAGTACCTACTTATAATAATTCACAGCCAGTCAATAGATACCAATGGACTGTCCTCCCATGGGTAATGTTAAATATCCCTACCCTGTGCCAATATTTTGTGCAAAAACCATTGGAAATGATCCATGCAAAATTTCCACAATCTATAATTTACCATTATATGGATGATATCTTGTTAGCTGATCCAATTTTAGATATCTTACAAACCATGCTTGAATAAGTGAAGTAAGTTCTGCCTTTCTGGGATTACAAATTGCTCCCAAAAAAATACAAAGAGGAGACTATTAATTACTTAGGATATAAGATACATCTACAAGAAAATTAGACCCTAAAAGGTACAACTCAGGAAAGACTGACTGCAGACTCTTAATGATTTTTTTTAAATGTTAGAAAGCATTTCCAACTTACACACTATCATTGGAATACCTAAAGATGGACTAGTAAATTTGGCCAATACCCTAAAAGGGGACAAGGATTAAATAATACAAGAGAATTATCAGTTGAAGCTGAAAGGAATTGGCTCTAGTAGAAAAGAAAATATGAGAGGTACATATGGATCATGTGAATCCAGAATTTAACTGCATTCTGGTCATACTCCCCCTCTAGACACTCCTTCACAGGGATTTTGATGCAGAGGGAAGTTATTATATTGGAATGGATATTTCTACCACATAAACCAAGTAAGAAGTTAAAGACTTATGTGGAAAAGATCTCTGGTTTGATTCTAAAAGGAAAATTAAGACTTCGACAGTTGACAGGAAAGGACCCAGCAGAAAATGGAGTACCCTTAAC